CATACACATACATACATACATATATATGTAATACTTAATGCTATATATATATTTAATGAACCAGAGAGAAAAATGGGGGGGGGGGATGAGAAAGCAAGCTGCCAGGTCCAAGACTCGAACCACAGTCAACCATGTGGGAGTCCAGTGCCCTAACCACCATGCCACCTGCTGCCCCGTGACATTTCCTTTTCCTCCTCAGAACAAAGGGACTCCGGTGAAAGAGTAGGTGGAGAAGGTGTTACGTTGATCAAAAAAGACAGACCCCAGACTATCCCTACCTACACGGATGCGCTCCACATCTACTCCACCATGGAGGGTATGAGTCCCCGTCTAGCTTGGTGCAACCTCTTGAGCCCTGAACCTCACCTCCGGGACCCATCCCCCTCCGGGGTTCCCTCTAACCCTTCAAGCTCCCCCATACCCACCTCTCTGGAATCCTCCAGGCTTCATTGCCTACAGACATGACCAGAAGGGCTCCTACTTCATCCAGACCCTGACGGATGTCTTCACAAACCAGAAAGGGCCCATCCTGATGCTGTTGACAGAGGTGAGTTGGGACAAGGTATTTGCAACCTCCCCCCAAATCAAGCAGAGTGCAAATGCAGTAAGCTAAGTCGTTTCCAAACCTTTCTCCATGCCCCCCCCATCTTTAATCCAATCCAGGGCCTTGTACAGACATGAAGATACCCAGTCTGAGCAATAACTGCCTCTACCCTTGGGAATCCCAAAGTTCACTGGATATGAGATTTTTTTAGAGAGAGAGAGATTTTTGCTATAGGGCATGTGCACTCTTTGGAGAGACAGAGATAGTGAAAGTGAGAAATCACCCCCCAGGGTATATGGTCATGCCACAATCCCTTCTCTTCTCCATTCTCCTCTTGAGATTTTATGCACGTACGCACACATGCATGCACAGCCAGCATGAGTTTCAAGCAGCCAGGTCTGGGACTTGAACTGCAGTTGGCCATGTGGTAGTCCAGTGCCCCGACCACTGGACCACCTGCTGGCCCCGAAATGAGATATTTTTTGGTAGGTTTGGGCTTGTTTGTTTGTGTTCACTCACCAGAGAGAGACAGAGAAGGAGAGAGAAAGAAAAAAATGAGACATCACTCTCCTGAAGGATGACCACATTGCAAACCCTTCTCCTCCACTCTCCTCTTGGAATTTTGGGCATGCACACACATATGCCCAGGGTTATTTTTTTTTCCCAGCCACTGGGTCCAGAACTTGAACCACACAATCAACCATATGGGATCCAGTCACCTTAACTCCCATGTCACTGGCTGGCCACCATATAAGCTTTTATAAACAAACCCCTTTAGATTTAACCAATGTTTGGGCAAAGTTTTTTTTTCTACTCATGATTATATATTTTTTTTGCAAGTTAGAGAGCAAACGTCCAATCAGTCTCAGTCTCGTGGAAACTATGGAATACGATGAGATAGTAAAGTTCTCTCCTTTTTTTTTTTTTTTTTTTTTTTTGTGGGGGTTTTTTTCCCAGGGGCAGGCACTTTCACAAAGACAGAGAGAGACAGAGATAGAAAGCAAGAAATCATTCCCCCAGGGGAGATGGCCACACTGCAATCCCTTCTCTTCCATTATCCTCTCGGGATCTTGGGCATGCACACACACGCACCCAGCGTGAGTTTAAGCCACCGGGTCCGGGACTCGAACCGCAGTCAACTACATGAGAGTCCAGCAACACAGCCATTACGCTAACTGCTGGTCCCTAGTTCTCTCGTCTTCGGACGTGGATACTCACATTCCCTGTTCTCCAGACATCTCCCTTAAGTCCATTACCAACTTTCCCAGGGTCCCAAGCCCCAGCTAACCACACCTGTTGCTGCAGGTAACCCGGCGAATGGCACAGGCTGAGCTGGTTCAGGAAGGAAAACCGAGGAAAGCGAACCCTGAAATCCAGAGCACCCTCCGAAAACGGCTTTACCTGCAATAGAAGGAGATAAGAAGGGGGGAAGGGTTCTTTTGGCACTCTCTCTGCCCCACAGATATTTAGAAGCAGGCCTCGCTGCTTCCTAAAATCTAATTACACCCAGTCACACTCCTCATTCAGATCCTCTATGTTTTCCCTCCGGCAAGGCATGGCAAGGCAATCGAAACAACGCAAGGCATGATGGGAACTTTAGCATCATCTCCCGCAGACTGGATTCTTACCTCTATTGATGCAACCTAAGCATGCTTTCGCTTATCCCATTTTCTGCTCCTGTACTTTTCTTTCACTGATGAATCATAGCCTTACAAAGGTGACTGGATAAAGCTCAAGATTTTCCAGGGACAAACCAATGCCTACTCCCCTCTCCCACCCCACTCAAATCTTTGCTGCCTTCTGATTCTCAGCTGGTGTTAGAACCTCCTCCTGAGTGACATCCACTCCCACCTCCCAGTGATCCTCTCTAAACCTTGGAAATTCAAGAAGTGAATAAAGCAAGAATTGTTCTCTGTCTCCAAGACGCCTCTTTATTGGCACAGGTTGGTGCTTTGCACCATTCTCCTCCTCATCGTTCTATGAAAAATGAAGTGACCTCCTGCTTTTCTGGATATCTTTCTCCTAATGTCTGTCTGTCTCTTTTTTTTTTGGACGGGGGGGAAGTTGCCATAGAGTGTGTGTGCTTGCCAGAGAAAGAGACAGTGACAGGAAAAGGGAGAGATCGCTTCCCAGGGTGATGTCCACGTTGTAATTCCTTCTCCTCCATTCTCTTCCTAGGATTTTGGGCACACATGCACACACTCTCAGTGTGATTTTCAAGCTACCATGTCCAGGACTCAAACCATGGTCAGCCATGTGAGAGTCCGGCACTTTAACCACCATTCCACCTGCTGGCCCCACCTAATGTCTCTCTCTCTCTCTTTTTGGAGAGGTCTTTGCTATAGGGCATGTGCGCTCACCACAGACAGAGAGAGATACAGAGACAGAAAGCGAGAAATCCCCCCAGAAATCACCCCCCCGGGGGGATGGCCACACTGCAATCCCTTCTCCTCCATTCTCCTCTCAGGATCTTGGGCACGCACACACAAGCGCCCAGCGTGAATTTTAAGCCACTGGGTCCGGGACTCGAACCACGGTCTGCTACGTGGGAGTCCAGCCACATAGCCATTACGCTAATTGCTGGTCCCTCTAATGTCTCTCTTCACAAGGCTCTGCCTTCTCTCCAAGAAAATCTATCCACTTAAGCTAGTCTCACCGTGTCCACTTAGAACCATTCTGAATCAAGACATGATTGACCGTGGCTCTCTGCCAGATTCCCTGATGTTGCTCTGTTATTTTCAGACACTAGAGAGAGACCCAGAGAAGTTAAATTACTGCCAAATACCACACAGTACAACTGAGGTTGGAGCAAAGTCTAACATGCAGTCCAGCCCCTTCCCACTGTCTTCTAAGTCCTAGTCACCATAGGGTCAGATCCTCAGCCCAATCAACTTGAGGAAGGCAGGGTTTGCATGCATGCCCCAGATCCTGACAGGCTGGAGGACTGATGAAGAGGGATCACAGCTTGACCAGGCCCTGTGGGTGGTCCACCTCTCTCTTTATCTTCTCTCTCTTTTGCATTCAGGCATATGTGCTCTCAATCATGAGTGGAATAGGTGGGCTTAAAAAAAAAAAGTGGGGGAACCAGCAGTTAGCGTAATGGCTATGTCGCTGGACTCCCACGTAGTCGACCGTGGTTTGCGTCCCGGACCCTGTGGCTTAAAACTCATGCTGGGCGCATGTGCGTGTGTGCCCAAGATCCCAAGAGGAGAGTGGAGAAGGGATTGTGGCATGGCCATTCCCACCTGGGGGGAGATTTCTCACTTTCTGTCTCTCTGTCTCTGTCTGTCTGGCGAGCGCGCGCACCCTATAGCGAAAACCTCTCCAAAAAAAAAAAAAAGTGGGTTCAACAGATGGTATGGGGTGGAGGCTCTGGATCCCACATGACTGACTGCATAGTTTGAGTACCAGACTCAGTTACATGAAACTCACACCAGGCATTTGTGCGTGTGTGTGTGTGTGTGTGTGTGTGTGTGTGTGCCCAAAATCCCAAGAGAAGAAGGGATTGTAGGGTAGCCATCCCCCCTGGGTAATTTCTCACTTCCCTCTCACTGTCACACTCTGTCTCTCTCCAGTGAACTCATGCATCCTGTGGCAAAAACCGAAAAACAAAACATGGGGCTGGCAAATGGCATGGTAGTTAAGGGCGCTGGACTCCCACATGGCCCACCATGGTTTGAGTCCCAGACCTGGTGGCTTGGCTTGCTTTCCCTTTCCCTCTCCCTTTCTCATTCTGTCTCTCTCTGGTCAAATTAAAATAAATAAATAAAGTTAAATAAAATAATTCTTTCTTTAAAAAGTCATTTTTTTAAAAATCCACTTTCAAGCCAACAGGGGTCATGGTGATTAAGGCAGATGGATTCACATGTCCAACTCCATGGTTCAAGTCCCAGATCCTGCCACTTGAAAAATCACACCAGGCATGTGCGTATGCATGCCCAAAATCCTAAGAGAAAAATGGAGGAGAAGGGATTGTGACATGCTTATTCCCCCAGGGGGTTGATTTCTCACTTTCTTTCTCTCCTCTGTCTTTCTTCAGTAAGTGCACACACCCTATAGCAAAAACAAACAAACCTACAATCCACTTTCTATGTCTATGAGTCGTTTCTACTTAATCATGTTTGAATTTCCTTCACTCACAAGGAAGTGCAAGCCACCTCCAAAGGGCCTGAGTTCAGCCCTCGGTTTTTTGGTTCAGCATGAAACGCAAACAAAGAGATGGGACGATTAGCTTTTGAGAACTCAGAACACAAACTGGTCCGCCTTCATGCCAATTGATTGCATCCTTTGGGGATAAAACATTTCAGTTGTTTATGAAGTTATTCTTACAGATGATCAATTATAAGAAATGAGGTCACCCTCACCCCAGGGAATTCATTAAGCCAATCACCCTACTGCAGAACGACCTTTCCCGTGGTCCACACCCATGGCCTCAAGGCTCCTTATGGCAGTCCAAAGCCCAAGAAGGACAGAGCGAAAGGGCCTGATGTGGGGCACCCTGAGCAAGCACCTTTGCCTGTTCTGGGATCACCTGGCTTCAGCCAGGCTGACAGTGCCCTGACCCCCAACCATCCACATGCAAAAGGGAAGCAGAGGTCAGCTGAACAGAGCTGATCATCAAAGCTCCCTGCCCAGCCTGGTGCGTGGGAGGAGTGACTGTCCCAACCTGTGTAGCATGCACTGTGTATCATGCAACGTAAGCCACCCCGATTCATTCTATCTGGCCAGATCAGCCCCAGACTCACTGGGATCAGAGAGGTTTGGGTATATAGGAACCAAACACCTGAAGACAATGAGATCTGAAGGCATTCTCTCCCCACCCCACTCCCAGCAGGAAAACGAGAGACACTTCCCTCTGAAAACTCTGAACTCTAAATTCCCACTATGGATACCATATTTCCAGCCACAGTAGAGGAAGAAAACTGAAATGGAGCTGACAGCAAAGAGAAGTGCACAAGCACATAGCTACAGAAACATACTCCAAAGAAGTAGGAAGAAGTGGGGCAGATGGCGGGATAGTTAAAGTGCTGGACTCCCACATGACCCAAACCAGTTTAAGTCCCAGATCTGGAATCTTGAAAATCACACCAGGTGCATGTGTATGGATGCCCAAAATCCCAGAAGGAGAAGGGACTATGGTGTAGCCATTTTCCTGGGGGGGGGGGAATTCTCACTTTCCCTCTCTCCCTATCTCTCTCTCTGGTGAGTATGCATGCCTTATGGCAAAAACCTTAAAAATAAAAAAAGGAGGAAGGAGGGAATACATCACCAGATGTCTAAAAATCAAAACAGAGTCCCAAGAAATGCGACAAAACCGGGAAGTACTTCTCCTCCAAAGGAACACAATAACTGCTCACCAATATTTAATAAAATAAGGGAAATCACAGAAATGTCAGAAAAAGAATTCAGACTATTCTTCATAACAAAACTCAATGAGATGCAAGAGAAAACAGACAACAAATTCCAGGATATGAGAATATCTTTCCATGACTTGAAAGAGGAACTCTATAAAGGGATAGACACCCTGAAAAAGAATCAAACAGAACTTCCGGAGATAATACAATGGAGGAAATCAAAACCTCCCTTGAAAATATTAAGAGCAGATTAGACTACACAGTAGAAAGAATCTCTAATCTTGAATACAAGAACCTCCAATTTAGTCCAAAAGCAACCAAAAAGAATGGGAAAATAGCCATTAAAAATAAGAACAACATATGGGAAATTGTATTGATATATCATTTTTAGCAGATAACTCTACATTCTTAGGTCTATTAAGTATTTCTTCCCTGAGCCCCACCCACCCACCCTTTACTATCCATCCCTCTCCCAAGCAGCTCTTCTACCAAAAAAAAATTTAAAAATGAATAATACAATTGAAAAACAGGTTTAACCATTTTTTTTTTCATAAGGCATGCGCACTCTCCAGAGAGAAACAGAGAGGGAAAGTGAGAAACCACTTCCCAGGGGGGATAGCCACACCACAATCCCTTTTCCTCCATTCTCCTCCTGGGATTTTTGGGCATACATATATACCCATGTATTGATTTTCAAGCCACAAAATCTAACTGCAATTGGCCGTATGGGAGTTCAACACCTCAACCACCACACCACCTACTGGCTGTAAATGGTTTTAACTTTAAAAGCAATATTACAGATTCTCGGCAGAGAGGAAACTAGAAATAAAAAATAACTATTTCCTGACCACACCTAACATTTTCCCATTGATTGTTCTGTAGAATAAGGTGAAACAGATTTTCATATGGACAATCATTGTCTACAAATAATGACTTTGCTGATTTTCTAACCCATTTATCTTTAATCTGGTTTTCTTAATTGCATTGTCTTTTGTCCCCAAGAAATGGAAAAGAATTTTAAAAAAAAAGTAAATTTTAAAATAAAACTCCACTCTT